AAGATATATACTTACTATATATATATATATATATATATATATATACACCCATATGCATACATATATATATATATTTGTGAATTAATTAATCTTTAAATATATATATTAGCTGCAGCTAAATTGACATTGCTAATAAAATGTCTAATTCCAAAATACAAAGTACCCGAGAAAGTAGTAAAGTCTATGATTACTTGGTGCTTATCTTCATTAAACAATCTGCCATTTACTGTTAGTACAGTTATCATACAATGGGTCATAGGTAATTTAATTCTTCTCTGTTTTTGTTTATTATAAAAATATATTTAGTATGTTTATTTGTTATAAATATATATGCAAATACAAAAGTATGAAAATATTAATGTTTAGGTTTGTGGAATTATGAATTAGTAGATAGAAAAGTGATCAACATATATTATGATGTTTTCTTCTATACTATGCTCAAGAAACAGAAACTGGTAATATATATTTTATTATTGCTTTTATATTCTTTTTCTACTTTATATTCTTTTTTTATATAAATATTTATTGTTTATTTAAGACAACTAGTTAATTAGAGTTAAAATAGAACAATAAACATTAAAAAATATAATAAACATTAAAAATTATTTTTACCTTATTATAAATGAATTAATTTTTAATTTCAAATCATTTTTTTAAATATAATAACTTTATTTTGTAACTTTTTGTAACTCTAAATTAAAATTTTTTATTTCATATTAAATTTTAACATCTTTAACATCATTTAATTAGAATTCTTTTTGTTTTATTATATAATTATTTAAAGTAATTTAATTTGAAAAAAATTAAAACATTAATTTAATATAAATAATGCTTAAAATTAACTTTTAATATAAGTCAATTTACTTTTAATAAAATTTTAATTAAGTTTTTTGTTCATGCAACTTTTAATTTAACTGTTGATTTTAGTTGTGATCTATTTAGCATTATAAATGCTTCAAAGCATTTGATCGACTAATCTGAACAAAAAATTTTATGAATTGATCAATCAAAAAATGCTTCGAAACATTTGTAACATCAAATGGATTCTTTATAGATCATTAATTTAATTTATTTAAAAAAAAAAGATTAACTTAACCTTACTAATAGATATGTAAGAAAATATATTAAAATATAACTTAATTTCATTATCATTATGTTATTTAAAGTGACTTTAAAATGATTTTAATAACAACTTTAAAATTATCTTGATATTTAAACATATTCCTTAATATTTATTATTTTGCAGAATATTTGTTTAAACATGTTGATTGAAATATATATCGCTGAAATGTAAGTCAGTATTATAAAATATTTTCATCATGTTTAAATGTAAATTTAAATTTCAGGAACATCAAATAGCGCGTCTTATCTACATGCTAACAAAACCAGAAGATGTTTCTCGTAGAGATGTTATGAGATTATTAACACTTCAAAAAAATTATTCTAAACCTCCAACACACATTATTGCGTTACTTTCGTAAGTATAATTGCTAATATTTATTTAATTAAAAAAGATTATTTTTTTTAACATATTTATAGATAGACATATTTATAGATTATTTAAGTCATATAAACCAGAATTAGTTCCTGAAAAAATACAATCAGTGAATGTAGAAAGTGTATGGAAACCTATACCTGAATCCATGAGATTAGCGTTAGAAGATGCTAGGGATCGTGCAGAAATTCAATCTCATCAAAACAGTCAAGTTTATTTTAATTGGAACATACAGGTATAAATAAATAAAGAAATAAATAAATATATATACACACACACATGTACATACACATTTATATACATTTATATATTTTACACACACACATACCATGCGCGCGCACACATACACACATATACACAAAATGTAATGATGTGAGTTTAGAATGTAAATTATAAAAATTTGAATGTGTATAGGGTACAAAAATTCAAAAGAAGAAACAAGCGCTTTTACCATCTGTTGGTTATTTTCACATTGGCTCAAGTATTTTTAAAGATAAATATGCAAAGTCGATTTTTAATATAAGCAGGTATATGATATAAAATTACATATATTTTTTGTAACTTTTTTCAATATATATTAATATTTTAAATGTATATTAATATTTAAATACATACATGTATAATTAATATTTTAACATATATGCTTTGTTTCTTCCAGCATAGAAGAATTAGGAAAGTATCATCAAAATGTTGAATTGCCTTGTAATGCTGTTTCACTTTTAGCAAATATGGTTGGTTATCATCTTCTTACTTATGCTGACTTTCAATACCAAAGTAGATTTTCATACAATCTTTACAATACGCTTATAAGAGGTATGTATTTATATTTTTGCTTATATTGCTACTATAACTATTTTAAAAACTTTTTATATTACAAAACCAATATATTAACATTTTCAGCATTTATATTGGAAAATGGAAAATTTTCCGATGAGGAAATGGATAAATTTCTCACTATGACAATTGAATTTTCTCGATATATGCAAGAAGGAATACTTATAATTAAATTATTCTTTGATGAATATTTATATTTTAATACAGGAGAACATCTATTAAAGTTTCTTGATTTGTTACAATGGATGACTTCTATTTCAGTAACTGGTAATTTATATGAAGTGTTCTGTTTAGCTTTCAAAATGTTAAAATGTTAAGTTAGAATAATTTATTATTTTCAGAATTACAAGAAAACATTTTGATACATGTGGAGAATATATTTTATGAATCCAATTTAACCATAAAATGTGAAATAATTAAATCCTTACAAAAATTAATTACAAACTTGGTAAGGATTGCATATTATTTTTTCAATATGTGTAACCATATGTATCTTATAATGAATGATTAGAAAATTTTTATAAGAAAAATGTTAACTATTTCTCTCTCTTTCTCTTTTGCAACCATTTATATATTCAATTATATACATATATATACATATATATATACATACATACATACATACATACATACATACATACATACATACATACATACATACATACATACATACATACATACATACATACATACATACATACATACATACATACATACATACATACATACATACATACATACATACATACATACATACATACATACATACATACATACATACATACATACATACATACATACATACATACATACATACACATATATATATATATATATATAAAAATTGTTATTACATGATATTTTGTATTCAGAATGGTGGATTCGCAGCATGCTTCAACAGCTGGCATGTTTGGAGCAGCATCTTTGATCACAGGGATTTTCACAGGAATTCTATTTTCCATGTTGATGCCTTTCTTTGTGAGCAGTGTGACATTTTGATCGACATTTTAAAGATGAAATCTGCATCTGCGCTATACTTGTATTAACTCAGGAGCAAGAAAAAGGGGTTAATAATTGAGAAAGAATAAATCTCCTATAGTTGAAATCATGAAATAACACAAAAATCTTCAAAAATTAATAATGTTGAAGAGAACAAGTAAAATGTTATTCTCAAAAGCAACTCGAGAAAGGAAGTAACATTTTAAGCAATTTCTATTTCCAAACAGAAATTGCTTTTTCTGATAACAGAATATTTCAGATAATGCTTGTTTGCTTATATATACGTTAAAAAATATATAAAAATATATCTAATCATATAGTTCTTTAAATAACAAACTATAAGGGCAAGTTTTTAATTAAGTAAAAGCCATTTGAAATAATGTGTGTTTTTATAAGCGTGTGGCATGGAATTTCTATTGATTGATGATTTTTAAAATCCAGCTAATAAGAGAAATAGTTACAGAAGTAAGATAAGATCATGTAAAGTGCATTAATGATACAATATCATTGTCTCATAACAGATTTATCTAGGAAGTACCGGAATCCATGGTTTTATGAAGATTATAAAAACATTCTAATATTACTGCCCCTATTACTAAAACCGGACCAATAAGCCTTATTCATAAAAAACATGTAGCGCTCCATTTTTCATATTGTTCAAATGGAAATCGCTAAATCATTACACTTATCAGGAAGAACATATATTTAAATCTGTATAATTCGTTACGCGTTTAGTAATTTTTATTCATTACAATCGTATTTTTAAGAGAAGAAAAATAAAAATAAAATTATTGTCGAATGTTCTTTTATGTAACGCTAAACGCATAACGAAACATACAATACATCTTTCATTATAAATAAGCATTAAATATTAAAAGAAAAAAAGATTCTCGATAATAATGAACAATATAATAAGGCTCTCACATTAAAAATTTTTTTGGTAATTAATTTTTGACTCAGTTAAAACTTAACTTTAACTTAGTTAACATGTGAGCGATATATTATTATTATTTTTTATGATTAGGCTCACTGATTAAACTCAGGGATATATGCTTATTACATTTTTTATCACTGAAGATGATTCAGATTCAAGTCGAAATGTTTGGCACTTTTTATTAATAAACTTTTATTAATAAACTTAGTTAGAAATTAAACATATATTTGCGCATTATTTACAACGCGCTGATTTTCATTAGCCTTATTATTGTTCATTAATAATTATGCATTTTTAGATAGAGTTTATGCTAAAGGTTAAATTTTCCTGCAGAAACCATTTCATTTTTAAATTAATCTGGTCATATGTATGTAATAATATGAAATTAATTTTAAAGATGAGTCAATTTTTTAAATAGGAATTTTTACAGCAATTCAGCGAACAAAATACATACTCACATTCTATCATCATTAAAATTAGATTTATGATCTTAAATACTAAATTCAATTTTAAATATTCAAGAAAATAAAAATCAACATGCGTAATAGTTTACAAGTAACGCAAAGTAAAAAGCCAAATTTAATAATTTCTTTACATCATAATAGAATACAGCAAGATCTGATATAATTGTCTCATCATAAACTTTCATATTATTTATAGCATTATACGATTCTATTCAATTCTGGTTGTATTTTTAAATTTTAGTATTTTATTTAATGTTTTTAATATTAATATGTATATCTTGTATACTTTGAGAACTTTTATATATCTCGAACTTTTTGGTTGTTATAATTATTTTAAAGCAAAAATTTTTTTAATTTTTTGCTTTTATACTTTTAATTTATCAAGTTTTATTAGGTTTATAAAACTTCTGTAACAGTTTTCTAACAATTGAAATCAATTATACTTTGTCACAAGAAATGATGCAGGAGAGTTAAGACTGTTGGCCATCCAATTGATACTAGTCCCCTCACAATTTTGATGATGAGCTTTTCACTTTATCCGTAGATTAATATACGACAATTTTAGAAATTGAAATAGTTACATCTTTTTGGGCTATGATTATGTTGTATTTGTAATTGTAATCCTTTTTCATCATATATATACAATACTGTTAACATATATACATGCTTATATTATTTATGTTTTATATAGCGATAAAATTCAGAATGTTTTACATTTTAGTCTTTATTTAAAATGATCGTGAAACTAAGCTATACAAAATACATAATATTCTTCCAGTTAAGTCATACCTGAATAACTTCCACAATTTTTTCAATTGCTTTAGGTATAAATTACTTTTAATTGTAGATTATAGCTTAAGCTCTAAAAAACAATTTTTATTGTTTTTAAAGCTTATGCTAAACGTATATATTATTAATACCATATACAGAATCATGTTAATTATTATCATATAGATTTAATAATCTTTGATTTATTGACTGCGAGAAATTTTCTCATAGTGATTTTATAATAGTGTAATATTTGTATTACATTACATTAAAAAATTCTGAGTACAAGATATATTTTCATACAATTTAAACGTATTTTTAATTTTATATTTTTGTATAGTAACTTCATCAGATTTTATATTGTTATGATATAATCAAGATGTTCCTAAAATGTTTGAGTATATAAATTTTATTAAATTTCACCTGATTGATTTTATAAAATTTTATCCAATAATTTTATGCTATTCCGATAATTAACACGAATTATTAAATTCGCACAATATTAGATATAATGTCTAAATACTTTAGGAACACTTTGTGTAAGGTATGGAATATATTTATCAAAATTGCAAATTTCATTCGATAGCATTTACACATACATTTTTAATTATACTAAAGTGTAATCTCTATGACATCTATTATCTCTATTGCTGTATATAATGATAATCCATTATCTTTCATCTATTTTCGATTTACTCTTTAATAATGGATAAACATAAACATTATAAACGCACTTAAGGAAAGATTTTTTATTTGTGAGTCTAAATGATTTATCAAATTACATTTTATATGAATTTAATTTAATAAATTTAATTAAACTAATCAAATAAATTTAATAAATTATAACACTTATAAATATAAATCGTCCAAAAGGAAATATAATTATAAAATGATTAGTTATTTGAGAAAATCATTATATTTGAGAAAATCATTGCAATTGAAAATGTGTATTTCTATTCGCTACTAAAAAAAAATAATAGAATTTTTTAGCTCAGTCATTGTCTTATCTGACGAAATTAATTATCTGATGAATTAATTAAACTGATGAAATTAATTATCTCATCAGACTGAATAAAGTAATTCTAAAATGTATTCTGAATTCCTACAAGGACAATCCTCCATATAAAACAACAGACAATAAATGATCAAGGGAATTCGATAAATAATTCAGGATAAAATCGGAAGATTCATTGAATTTAAGAAAGAGAAAAAAAAATGAAATCGATAGAATAGATAAAATATTTTTATATGGATTCTGTCACACGAGTAAATTTCATTCGGATTGTTTCGCACATGTATCGTTTTAGATTTTAGATAATCTCTATTAACATTTATGCATTAGTATTATATATACATATTATATATAATATATATTATATATTATATATAAGAATTCAATCCATTTCTACATAAAAATGGTATAAGTTGCGATATCAATACATTGTCGCTGCAAGGAGTTTTATCATTTTTATGTTGGAATGTATGTATATAATATATTATACATACAGATATGCAATGAAAAGATATTACCAATCTATTGATCATTAGTATTCTTTTATTGAGTTATCTAAAATTATTTTTTAAATATTATTGGAAAAAGTTTGTTGTACACACATTCGAATCCTTTCCAAGATATAATTTATAGACAAAAAAAGTTTAATTAAAAAAAAAGTTTAATTTAAAAAATTGAATTAATCAAATTTGTACATTCTCGTAATTCACCTTTTTTTTAATATTAAGACTTAAATCTTTATAATATCACATAACATTGACATTTTAACATCGTTTTATTTAACATCTAGAAACGGATTCCTTTTTATTTGTATTGTCAACATTTGATAAAGAAAAAATGCAGATTCTGACAAACTGTATGTATAAAAAACTTTGTAAGATAAGAAATCCCTCGTTGCGTTTTAATGAATAAGTAGATTTATGAAAACAGTTTGAATCATTCAATTTATTGTGAAAAGAACGTTAAATAAATATGAACTAACTATTATCAACATGTATTCAGTTATTACCATATAACAAATTATAGTAATATTTTTTTACATTTATTTCTTGTACAAGATGGATGTTAAATAAGTCGATCAATAATTTCATTAAAAATAGATATTATTTTGTTCCAATAATATTAGTAGAATACAATTATTAAATAACAGAGAGTTTGAAGCAAGAAGAGGGCCATAAGCGTTAAGCATATAGTACAACATATGTATATACTTTGTGTCAGTACGAAAGCTTACATAACGTAAACCTTTTCGATTTTTTTATATGGAAATACTTCTTTGGTCTTTGGACAAATCACCGTACCATTATTTTCTTGAGCCATTTTTTCCAATGCCTGCAATAAAAAATTTATAAATGTAAACACAAGTGTAAAAAATATAATCATTTTTTTAAAGACAAAAGATAAATTTAAATACAATAATAATTATGATGTTTAATTACGGTGTATAATTTGAATTATCAAAATTTAATTATCGGAAAAAGTAGATATTTATAACTGATAGACATACAGTTATCTAAAATTAATATGTAATATATATGGTATGTGTGTTGGTTGTGGGTGTGTGTGTGTATGGTTTTGTGTGTTTGTTTGTTGTGTGTGTGTGTGTGTGTAAAATATATATATAAGCTTTCTTGCGTGATACATTTAATAGTGTAATAATTAATATTCTTATTTAAAGAATTACTTTAATATTCTGCATTACAGTATCACATTGATATTATCTTTATGCTATATTTTACGGATAACATTTTTTGATGTTTTCTAAAATATTATTAATATTTTGATAATTTAACTTACTTGTTCACCATATACATATCCGTTAGGCATCATCATAGGTTGGTTATACTCATTCAGTGGTTTCCCGCTTATGCTACAAACGAGCCGCGATTGCGAACAATGAGCGAAAGGCAATGGCGCGGCTAGTTCGTTTAATGCTTCATTGCAAACTGGACAACTAGGATTTCGACCTTCCTTATTTGCGCTGTAACATTGAGGCGTTTTAAGAGCTGACAGACCCGCTTGAAGAGCTACCGTAAATACGCTCTGGCTTGCCAGCTGAAACAGTCTATAGTTTTCTTGCCGAAATGTCTCAATCAGCCTATCCCATCTGCAACCAAATTTTTATAAATTATTATTTATTATTAATTATTAATTATTATTTGTTGAAATCGAACAATGATAGTTATTTTGGTTATTTACAAGATATTCTGATGACTTTATATCATGAATTAAACGATTACAAAAATGTGTCTGTAAATAACAAATGTAAATAGTAATTGCGAACCTCTTCTCGTCTAGAAGATCCTTATAAGGACTTAAGTATGCATGGGCTGGGAAGGCCAACTGGCCCATGCAACACTGAATCTCTTGCAGCTGATAATCGTCATAATTGGCAAAATACTTTCGGGCATGTTTCACTGCATCAAGCCGTCTGTCGCTTCGCACCAATTCTATAAATTCTTGTACACGCAAATTGAATTCCATAGTGCTGCCTAGTTTTCTCAATTTTGAACGATTGTCGTGACACCAACCAATGCATCTTGCAGTTTCATGATTAGCCAAAGATTTTTCTACTTCTCTCGATACCATAAATACATCTATAATAAATATAAATGTTACAATAAATATAAATGTATATAATATAAATGTTACAAAATATGGAATAAATATTAAAAGTTAAAGCAAATAAGAACATAAAATTTTTAAAAATTAATGATTCAAAAAGTTTTTTTTTTTAATTTTTTTCTCAGGATACTTTTCCAGTTCAAATCGGTCCTTCTTTATCATTGTCTTGAATATTTATTTAACATATTTACTGCTTATGATCCAGAGTGGAATGATCTCAGCTGAGTTTCATTGCAGCTAGAGGAAGTTGAACATGGCGCTATTAGCTCAGTCTTTTCTCAGCAGTGAATATGTTAAATTTGTATAATTATTTCTATTTCTTCTTTCTCTTTATCTATTACATGGTAATCCCTTTATGACTACAACTTCAAATATGTTAGTGGATTCTTATTTCAAGTGAATAAAAAATATAATAAAAGAATATAATACCAATATTTGTTAAGTCCCTAAGTTCGCTGCTGTCTGCCAGTTTAGTTGCTGTTTTATAATATCCCTTGCGAAGAAAATATTCCACTAACATTCTGTCTAATCTCTGCCGTCTCCACTGATTGACAGCGCTTGGAGAGGTATTAGCATGATCCTTCAAGTGATCTAATCTTCGTTTACATACCATGCCTGCTTGTAATTCTTCAGCTATAGATTCTTGAGCTTTACGCTTCAAGACTTGAAGTCTAGCAACCACGCCACCAAGCAACTTGCTGATTTCTCCAGTAGCTACATAAGATCCATCAGTCTTCAAACTTTTCTCAAGTTCATTTGATACCGTCTGGACATGTGACACTTCTCTGTCAAGAGTTTTTTGAGCAGAACGGAATTTCTTATTCAACAGCTCATATGGAACCTGTGTTTTATATTATACTATCAGATATATAAGCACATTTTGATATATTTTCTGAAAAATTAACTATTTTAAATATCCATCAAAATTTTTACAAAATTTAAAATAAATAAGAAATAAAAATGTGTTTATATAGAATAATATAGAGAACTGGCAAGATTGTGTTATTATGCATAATATACATGTCTGTTGTTTAAAAAATTTGCTCTTGCAGATATTATTTGCTCTAGTAATTTATTAAAAAAATATATTTTTCTTTAGCGACTTATTTTTACAAAGATATAACTTCAGAGATTATCAGCTTAAAAAATTATTTCCTTGACAATTATATATATTATATACAGAATATATACAGAGTGCTAGGATAAAATTTCCAAATGGTAAAATATATAAAATATATAAAAAAAACATTCCGTTTAACAAGAACAACAAGAGAGATATGAAATAGTTCACCTTCAATGTGGGATGCTCAAGGCTCTTGACGTCTGACATATTGCTTAAAGATGAGTCACAAAAGGACAACGAAGTCAAACAGTGAAGAATATGACAAGAGAGTCAACGATTAGGTATCAATTATATATTGCGACACGATATTTACATCCATGTCAATAAATTTGTCGCGTAATTTGCACTCCTTAGCATTCTCTGCACTTTAAACAAGATAAATGTATATACGAATGTTGAAGAAAGAAAAAAATAAGAAAATCAAGTGCAGCAAGTGCAAGCAACGACTCGGAGCCCGAAGAAAGGATTGCATCGACTCGCGTATTCACTCTAGTTCACTCTTCCATCATATGTCAATTTGTTTACACGTAATTTTGAGATGTAATGTCGACGAATTGCCACAGATGGCACCACGGTGATCCGTCATGTGGTGACCTCATTCATCTACGTTTTTCATCTTTAATCACCTTATGAGCTCTATTTGAACTGTGTTCGTAAATTCACTGTCAGTATTGAAAATCTATAGAATACGTTAGACTATATGTTTTCAGTAATGATAGTAAATTTACGAACACAGCCTTGATACACGCTTACTGACAACTGTCGATGTCGTTAATTAACAACAGTCAAATTTCAAATTTTAAATTTTAATTTTAAAATTTGAATTTTAAAATTTAAATTTAAATTTTAAATTTAAATTTTAATTTAAATTTCAAATTTTTAATTTAAATTTAAAATTAAATTTTAAATTTTAATTTTAATTTTTAAATTTTAAAATTTGAATTTTAAATTTTAATTTTAAATTTAATATCTCGCTTTATATTTCGGTTGCGAGGCAGATCGCCGCATTTTTCTGCCAGATTTTTTTATTTTGAGCGAAACCGCGTCGTTAAGCCTAATTTTATCAAAAATCGGAGGTGACAAGATTCTAAATAATTAGCAATAAATAATATTTTAATATAAAATCGTATTAATAATTTATCCCATTATTTGCCGTATAACCTATTTTTCATAAATTTTATACGACATATATTGACGTAGTGTAACGCATGCGTAGAATTATCCAATAAAAATGTAGTAAATGCCTCTTTATATTTCTATATCTATTACTACGTTTACACGGCGACGTTAAATCGATGTAGTAACAACCATAGTTAGTGATTTCCTGCATTTAATTGGAACACATTTTTAGAGAATACAAATACCGAACGCAAGATTCCACTAACTACAGTTGTTACTAAACCAGTTTAACGTCGCCCTGTAAACGTAGTATATGGCTTAATATCGGAAGTCTAACCTTATTGGCAATTTGTTGACGCTCTCTTTAAGAGTTAACCTCTTCGAAATACCAATATATATCTAGTGTATAATTTTGCAGGAGCCTTTATTAATGAAAAGGAAGTTGGGACATATCTGTGATTATTGTAACGAATGATATCAACTAGTGATATCATTATGTATTCTATATGCAAAAATACTCATCTAGCAACAGGAGTCGAGCATGCGATTACATGCCACTTTTTCAATCGAACCGAGAAATGTCTTGTTGTTGCTGGTGCGAATATTATACGAGTGTTTCGTTTGATTCCTGATATCGACATGACTAGAAGGGAGAAATATACAGGTACTTTTTCATTCTTCCATCCATTCTGTCTGCATGGACTACATTCCACTTAACAATGCTTCGCAATGCTTCTGAAATCATTTTTATTCTCTTATTCTTTCTTCTTTATTTTTATTCTTTGTTAAATGATAAACAAATACATATGTTTATTTGAATGTACAAAATAAAGAATTATATGTATATTTTTTCTATAGAAATACGACCTCCTAAAATGAAACTGGAGTGTTTAGCTCAATACATCTTACATGGAAACATTATGTCAATGCAGGCAGTTCATCTCATTGGATCACAAAGGGATTCTCTCCTACTTAGCTTCCGTGATGCCAAGCTATCTGTTGTTGAGTATGATCAGGACATTCACGACTTGAGAACTGTATCGTTACATTACTTTGAAGAAGAAGAAATAAAGGTAGAATTACATTGATAACTGTTCTAGCACTAAATTAATCAGCGACTATGATTTTAATTTTAGCAATGCAAATTAAATTTTCAAATTATATTTTATTCAATTAGGATGGATGGACAAATCATCATCATATACCAATAGTAAGAGTGGATCCTGAGGGAAGATGTGCAGTAATGTTGATATTTGGCAAAAAATTGGTTGTGCTACCCTTTCGCAAGGATCCCAGTCTTGACGATGGTGATTTACTTGACACTGCAAAATTGTCATCTTCTAACAAGACTCCCATATTATCTTCATATATGATAGTATTAAAAACTTTGGAAGAGAAGATGGATAATGTAATAGATTTACAGTTTCTACATGGATATTATGAACCTACATTATTAATTTTATATGAACCAGTAAGGACATTTTCAGGGTAAGAGCATACTTTATATTTATGTTACATACTTATAGAATAAATAAAGAGGATTACATATCTGTTGATTATGGATTATGAATTATGTACACAGACGTATTGCAGTGAGACAGGATACCTGCGCTATGGTTGCAATATCTTTGAATATTCAGCAAAGAGTTCATCCTATTATCTGGTCTGTCTCCAATTTACCATTTGATTGTTATCAAGCTGTACCTGTGAAAAAACCGCTGGGTGGTACTCTAATAATGGCAGTCAACTCACTTATTTATCTGAATCAAAGTATACCACCTTATGGAGTATCTCTTAACAATTTAGCAGACTCAAGTACAAATTTTCCCTTAAGTATGTAGCATTTCTAAAAATATTATTATTAATTATATTTAATGTGTAATTTCCATCTAATGCATTAATTATTAAATATACACTTATTTTATTTGATTTTTATAGAGCCACAGGAAGGAGTTAAAATGAGTTTAGAAGGAGCACAGGTTGCATTTATATCTGCTGATCGTTTAGTTATCTCTTTGAAAAGTGGAGAACTCTATGTTTTGTCTCTCTTCGCAGATAGTATGCGATCCGTGCGTGGATTTCACTTCGACAAAGCTGCTGCTAGTGTGTTAACATCGTGTGTAAGTATTCATATTTAATTTTTAATTGTTACACATATATATGCAAATATATTTACTGTTCTTTTCAATATCATGTATGCTTTGTTATATTTTAGGTATGTATGTGTGAAGATAATTATCTTTTCCTTGGTTCTCGACTTGGTAATTCATTATTGTTACGATTTACGGAAAAAGAGCCGGAAGCTCTGAAAAATCTAAATGGTGGTGAAATTACCATTGAAGAAAATGAAAGCGAAGAACCTCCAGTTAAAAAAACAAAACAAGATTTTCTTGGTGATTGGATGGCGTCGGATGTATTAGATATCAAGGATCCAGAAGAATTAGAAGTATATGGCAGTGAAACTCATACATCCATTCAGATCACTTCGTATATTTTTGAGGTATCAACAATTTTTCTTACTTTACACGATATATATACTCTTTTATATTAATTTCAATATATTTATATTACTTTTTACTGATAGGTATGTGATAGCTTATTAAACATTGGACCGTGCGGAAATATTTCCATGGGAGAACCAGCTTTCCTGTCTGAAGAATTTCTACAGAATCAAGATCCCGATGTTGAGCTCGTAACAACATCCGGATATGGCAAAAATGGTGCACTTTGTGTACTACAACGTTCTATACGTCCTCAAGTAATTACTAATATAGCATATCAACTTTTATATAAAGTACTAACAATTTATATTCTACATTTAATTCTTTTAAAGTTTATGATTATTTTTATTATTAAAATGAAATTTATGAATTATGAGATACGAAAATATAATTGTTTATTAAATTTTTAATAAAAATAGGTCGTGACAACATTTGAATTGCCTGGTTGTGAAGATATGTGGACCGTTGTTGGTATATTAAATAACGATGAAGTCAAGACGGAAGCAGAAGGATCTCATGCATTCTTGATATTAAGTCAAGAAGATTCAACTATGGTATAATCATTTTCAATATAATGTTTAAATATCGCTTCATACATTTTAATAGATATAATAATTAGTACTTGAGTTATAATTTATTCATAGATTCTCCAAACCGGTCAAGAAATTAATGAAGTTGATCAGAGTGGATTTAGTACACAAGGAAGTACAGTATTTGCTGGTAATCTTGGAGCTAACAGATACATTGTACAAGTTACTCAAATGGGAGTACGTCTTTTGCAAGGCATCGAACAAGTATGTATATTAAATCTTAAATATGTATATTAATTTTTTGTAATTTTTACTTTTTGTGATTTTTATTATAAAAAAAATTATCATTCTATTAATTATTAATCTTGTGCGCACGATAAAGTCTTTTATTGTTAAAATTATTTCTAAGAATAGGACACTTGTAGTGTGATTAACAATTAATGATTTTGCAAATATAAACATTTTATTTATTTTATTACAAATTGTATAAATGTGGAAGCAAAATATTTTAATATTTCTTTTTTTATATATGTTTCTTTAATTATAAATTATAACACTTGCATTTTCATATAAATAATAACTTTTATTACAGATCCAACATATGCCTATAGATCTTGGCTGTCCAATTATACACGCAAGTTGTGCCGATCCATACGTAGCATTACTCTCAGAAGATGGACAAGTGATGTTATTAACCCTTAGAGAAGTAAGAGGTACAGCAAGATTGCATGCTCAGGCTGCCAATTTATTGTTTGTAAGTTTATTCATTTTATTGTAATAATATTAATAATAATAGTCTTGAAATATTCTTAAAATTCACTATCCACACACACACACATTTACAGCGTCCCCAGATAGAAGCGTTATGCGCTTACAGAGACGTAAGCGGAATTTTTACGACACAATTACCTGAGAATGCAGACGACGAGCAGACTGAAGAAGAATACAATGTAGAAGAACCATCTGTACTTACTAATATCGATAATGAAGATGATCTATTATACGGTGATGCTCCCGCATTCCAAATGCCTGCACCGTCATATCCAAAAACGTCAGATGGAACTACTAAGAAATCACCTTGGTAAAAAAATATGTGTTTAGCTATTCATATTTTTAAAATGCTTGATTAAACTTTTAATCAATATATTCTATCAGTCATATTTCTTATTAGATGAAAAATATTTAACTAATTAATTTTTAAACATATTGATATAAGATTCTTGATATGTAAATACATACATTGATAAATAAATACATTGACATATATTTTCATAATATGAATTTTTGTAATAGGTGGCAAAGACATTTGCAGGAAATTAAATCCACATATTGGCTACTTGTGTACAGAGACAGCGGAACTTTAGAAATTTATTCCTTACCTGATTTACGATTATCTTATCTTATTCGTAATTTTGGCTATGGTCAATATGTATTGCATGACAGCATGGAATCCACAACTTTGCAATCAGCGCCGATCAACGAGATCCCTCATCCAGATATGCAGGTAATTTATTTTTCTCTATAATGTTCTTATATAAAATTTATAAAAAATCTAGTACTTTTAAAAAAATATATATTTCCACAGGTTCGTGAAATTTTGATGGTTGCCCTAGGACATCATGGAAACCGACCGATGCTGTTAGTACGCCTCGATTCGGAATTGCAAATTTA